ACAAACAATAAACAGACGGTTCCAACGTATTAAAACAGGAGAAATGTTTACCCTCAAATGTAGGCCTTCAAATGGCCGTCAGCACACGTCAGCACTTAAGGTGTTTTGATGAAACAGCGCCTCCTGTCGGAGGGTGATGAATGTGCATCCCCCTTTCTGAGAAGCTGAATGAGGGAAATGCTCGCCTTTCCTCTCCCTGAACTCACACACTGGACAAAAATCTCAAAATATGTCTCAAAATCGGCACAAAGTGTAATAAACTGTGCAGATATCATGCTAGGCTCGCCAATTGTAACGAAATAGAGTGATGTAACTATCTAGAGTTGTATTTTAATACACTGTAATTAGATCACTTGTTATAATCAGAAGATGGGCTGTTTTTATCATCAGGGAGTTTAATTAAACACTCTGTATTGACTTTGAGACAAGAAAAGAGAGAGAGTTGGGATTGTTTGAGAATCTTTAATTTCTTAATTATAAATTCTTAACAATCTACCAGGACTAACTCTGTGATGGATGAAAATGGATTTGGATGTTGTGTTGGTGCGTGTGTGTGTGTGGGTGTGTGGTTGGTTCAGACTCCTTAGGCTGACGTCATTGAATCTGGTAGTCTTTGTTATGACTAGATATCACGAGGCTTATAAAGTGATGACATGAGCTGCTATTTTGCCGTGTACGTACCCAGTGGGGGGCCTCCCAGGTAGATCAGGAAATGCCAGGTCCAAGAACCTCGGATGTGTACTGGAGCTGTTCGAAGCAGCGGTCGCAGCACGTCAAAGCCCGTCTGAAGGGTCGACCCCGGTACCAATCGGCAGCGTCAGCAGGTGCTCTTATTTGAAAGGATGTCGTCTGGTTGTTAAACGACTAAAATCTCCAACTTCACAGTTCTTAGTTTAAAGAAGAAAACACATCTGGCCAGGCTGTGCTTTTCTTTGGGATGACGGTGAATAGAACTGAAGTCAAAATGGAACTGAGATTAAAATGGCGTTGCCTTGTTTTATATCTCTGAATTGTTGATAAGTTTTAGTAAAGCGGATTGGACACTTTAAGTCAACAAGCCAGATTCTCCTGCGGCAGCCGAAAGCTCTGATTGGTTGGAACAATGTGTCATGCGTTTCTATGGAGATGAGGGTCAGTCTGTCTGTGCAGTAGTCCTGTTTTCATTAAACACATAAATCATGACAACTTTATTCCACAGATCATTCACTTGATTATTATTGACCAACATCTGTTTCAAATAGCTTTAATCACAAATTAAGTACTTTGATTATTGAAAAGCGTTCTTCTTCTCCTTCTGGCTCTTCTCCTGGAATGTAAACAGTCTGAGGAACACCCGACCTTGGCGTTTCCTACACGGGTGTTACTGTGTACAGGGGCAGCTGTGTGGAGCTGCAAATAATGAACTTCATAACCTTACATTGTAGGGCTGCAACAAACGATTATTTGGATAATCGATTAATCGGATGGGGTCTCGACACGATTAATCGATTAATCGGATTACATGGGGAAATTTTTAAAAACTGCTAGGGAAACGTTATTTCTCTCCTTCCTTCACTTTATTTAACACAACATTATTAGAAAACAGTTCAATAGCAGAAAAACAACATGCCATCACCTAAATTGTCTTATAAGGTGTATAGACAGAGACCCTAAGCTACATCTATCTGTGACCTAAAATGCTTGGTCCAAGTTAAACAGCTTAAGGGCAATTCTCATCTGTTTTGTTTGATCTCATCTGTTGACATGTATTTTAAATGTAATTAAACATAGGCTGTGAATTAATCAAAATTGATCCCTATTTCCAAAAATGACTGAAAAAATACCAAATAAAACAAAAGTAAATGAATGCCATCCTCCTTGCGATGATGCCCTGGGCAACTGCCATAAAGTCACATCAAGAAATGCTGCTGATCATTCCAATGATCCCAAATAGACTCACATTAGGCCACATGAAAGCAACTGAACCCAAAAATATATTAACCAGTATATAACTGCACTCTCACACAACACGCCTGCAGCAACAGTTAGGACTCCTCCCTCCCTTTTAAAAGCGTTTTTGCTTCCGAGGACATTGTGGTTGTAAAACCACATGCTAGTAGTCTGGCCCCGGTGTGATCAACCAGTTTCTGCGGGAATGTGACGGCGGAACCAGGGCCAGATTAACACTTTGTTGTACCCTGGGCAACAATATTCAAGGGCTCCATCATCACGACCCGAGGATCACCATAATGTGGTCACATACAGAATATTTTACTGTAATATGCAGTAAATATACTCAATACTTGAATGCCTGACAACACGTAACCCGCCCAGAGAAACCTTTGACCCACCTCGTGTGGACTGACCAATGAGGAGAGGGTCTTAACTTGAGGCCCTCTCTTCATTGGTCAGTCTGCATGAGACTGACTCTCAACTGACGTTCAGAGTCATAGGCAGCGAAGCGTCTCTGTGCAGCGCAAAAGCCCGGGTGGACAGGTTGTTTAATATAGGGTGACCATATTTCCATTTCCAAACAAGAGGACAGGGGATCTGTGCCTATGACGTCACACTATGGCAACGCCACACAAACCACGTTGGGACCCATTTTTTGTAAGAACTAAATTAATATCAGATTCTACCAATAAAAGGGCTCTAAAACAATTCATATGTAAATATTTTGCATATTTAATGCAAAATCTCATTTTTATGCTTTAGTGCTGCAACAAGGTTTTATTAATAATAAATTATTATACCTTTTGTTTTACTACAGCATCGGTAAGCTTCCTGTTTACAGATTATTAAGGATGCTTGTTTCAGCTGTGAGATTAGACGATAGGGTCAATGAAAAAATAAGTTGTCACACACTCCATGGAAACTTTCAGAGAATCCACAAATAGTGGCTTTCAAATTGTTTTGTTACTTTTTGCAAGTTTAGAAAAGAAGCAGATGAGACAGCATGTCTGATAATTTAGTTTTTCATCTGATAATATTAGAACATGTCAGTAATGTCTGAGGGGACTTTATAAACACCGTATAACTAATACTCCTGGAGAGGGTATGAATTACACAGAGGCTTCTGGGGAACCCAGTTATGGGGGGGGGGGGCATTTTGCCTTGGCCCCCAAAATGTCTTGAAACGGCCCTGGGTTTGACTGAGTTTTGAAGGTGATCTGAATTGTATCAGATGTATAAATATGACATGTGTATAACTTATTGTTTTATACAGGTAAAAACGTGTAGTGGAGATAAATCTACCTACATTTTACTTTTCAACACTTTGTTTTGTTTTCTTGTTTTTATTTAACAATTTTCCTGTCCTGTCTGTCTCTCATCTTCCTGCATCTCCTCATAATTCTCCAGAAAATCTGTTGCCTGGATTCTTACCTTTTCACCTCATCAGTTACTTTTGAGCAGATCAAAGAGATCTCCTGACCGCAAAGCGCGTTTTCGATGCTGCGTGCGGAGCTCATCACCACAGCACAGGTGATGAGCTCCGCGCGCTTCAGGCACAAATAAGACAGAAAATAGAGAACATGTGCAGACAAGAACGATCGTGTGCTAATTATAGTTTTTTGGTTTTTCCACTTTGAGAATGGACCGTGCGCTGGAAGCAGCTGCCTGGATCGCTGCGCAACATTGCGGAACCGGTTCGCAGCAGCGCAAGTCTGCAGGCTCTCCCTCGCGCTGATCTGCCGGTACCGGCTCTCTCTCGCGCTGATCTGCGGCTCTCCCTCGCGCTGATCTGCCGGCTCTCCCTCGCGCTGATCTGCGGCTCTCCCTCGAGCTGATCTGCGGCTCTCCCTCGCGCTGATCTGCGGCTCTCCCTCGCGCTGATCTGACTTGCTCTGGTCTGCGCGCAATGGCGGGCGGGAAGGGGGGGCGCTTTTGGAAGAGTTGTGCGACACAACGTATCGATGACGCAATTCGTTGCCAACGCTTTTAGTAATCGATTTTCATCGAATTTATCGATTCGTTGTTGCAGCCCTATTACATTGGCAACGTTCATGTCCCTTTAAGAAGCTGTACCACCTTGAGTCATGTAAAAATGTGACTCAACGTAATACATGCAACAGCCCCATCTAGTGGACAACTTTTGTTTCTGCACATACCTGTAATTAATCGTCCATTTATTGCTATCAAGGTGAAATCCTCAATATATTGTGATATAGTTGGAGGTTTAGTTGGTGTAGTTGTTTGGTGTTGGTGTGACGGCTGTGCGCGACACAGAGCAGAGAGAGAGAGAGGGTTCTCAATCATGTTTTATTACTAAATGAAACAATCAGCTGAAACTCTTGAGGGAAATGTGTTGCAACTAAATCACAGGAGATGTCCAGAAGGTTTGGAAGCCCGTGTTCATCATGTGTTCATAAACGAATGACATTTAATTTGCCATAACGAGCTACTACCACAGATCGGACTTAACTGACGTCCAGATTATTTTACTGAGGATGTTTTTCTGCAACCAGATCTGTATAACCTACGTCACACCGTCTTCTTTAGAATTGCGTCTTCACCCACCTGCAGCTGCAGCCGCTGATCAAAGCTGGCAGAAACGGGGTTCCGTGCTGCAACCAGTTAGGCCTAATCGGCGTATTTCCAGTAGAACATGTTTGCCAAAGATTTGTGCAATAATCAGACTTCTATTTTGCTTCCACAAAATTAATTTTAGATTAGATATTACAGAAAATGGGGACAACTTGCCAACAAATTAAAAATCCGCCCCTCGTTAATTACAAATCAGGATGGTTCGCTGGCTGCTTCCAGGCCAGCGACTTTCAAGTGCGTCGCGAGTTACCGGTAGCTCACGGGCAATGTGTTGGAGACTCTTGCGATAAAGGATCCTCTGCAGTCTCAGTTTGAACATCGTTGGACTTGTTAAAGGCCTGTTGATGTTTAGAGCTGATTTAAAGAATTTCTAATTATAAAAGTGAAGGGATAAAAATACATAGAAGTTCTTTTTCTATTCTTTGTTTCCGTGTGACTTGCTAGACGTAAGAACTTGAAATCATTTTGTGTTACAGGCGATCAGGATCCATGACAGGAAGCTGTTGTTGGGATCTGGCTGCCCAACTGCTTCTGTGATTCCCATCCTGTTTGAGGAAACCTTCTACAATGATCAGGAGCAACGATACAGCATTCTGTGTATTTCCAGGCCAGTGGAGGTAGAACCAAGCCTGGCTGAGGTCAGTCAACTTCCAACCTACTGCCTGAGAAGCCTGGAGGATGTGACAGACTTCCTGGGTCGCCATGTCCACAAACTGGACAAGTTCATCAACAGCTTCTGTCTGTCTGTCAGAGAACAGGAGAGGAAGGGACTCCGTCACCACATAGTATGAAAACTTCTATCAGACCTGCTCCTTGTTTTGGTTTATCTTTTTTAGTGATGAGTTGCCTTTACTCTGCTTGTAGGACGCTGTGAATGGTCTCTACGCTAAATGTCTTATGTGTCTACTGAGAGACTCCCACCTGGTGAGTAGAACCTGCATCAGATCTACGGATGGGTGGTGGTCAGGGTGCTGCGATGGTTTCTACTGACACAGAGTAACCTTAGCAATTTCTATGTTCACCATTTACACGAAGGTCCTAAAAATCCAAAACCTTTACTTCCCCATGGAAGAAGGAAAGACTAATCTGTGAGCTTTGCTATCTTCGTCAAACTTATTTGAAGTTATGTCTTGAAAATGATGCAGTGTTGTGACGTTTGCACTACATGTGCATGCCAAACCACTCTGAACCATCAACATCATTTCCAGGCTTGGTTTGTTGTGTTTTCACCATCAATCATAAACTGGACTTCTGAACTAAACCTAGAAGATGCAGTGGAAGCCGACCATAAACAGGACATCATGGCTTCAATTTTCCACAACATAAAAAGGAGACATCGTTCACGTCAAGAGTTTCCACTGAGGTCTGAGCGACAGAGAACCTCAAGCAGATTAGACAACTGATGGGTGTCTATTGTCTTCAGCAGCTTCTTGGTTATTGCATCTTCACATTTCTAATGTATGGTTGTTGGGAATGCTGGGATTGTCAGTCTGTCGCGCAGTGACCACCCTGAAGATCCAGGTAGTTTGACAAGTCTCTACCAGGACCTTTTTCAGTCAAGTTCTGATCTGACATTGACAGGATCATTGCAGCAGCTTTTTGCTACTGCGGCTGTTGTGTTTGGATCACGGTCTCATTTCATGACCTGGTTCAGTCCAAGTTTCACCTGCCAGACAGATGCTCTTACTTTTGACTTTGGTATCTAGAGGAGGTCATGGTGGACATAGACTTCAAGGTGCCCAGGTCCTGTAGAACAAGCACAGACCACTGGCCTTCAACACTTGGAGCTTCCTGTCCAACACACGACTTTTGGAGTTAGTTTATGAGATTCATGAAGGTGTGGACCCATTCTCCTCTAGCAGCTTATACACCAACACCTCATCAAGAACACTGCATGAGCCAAACAATCAGATGATCTCAGACCTCCCAAAATCCAGTCTGAAGAGGTGGCCAGAAGCTGTAAGCGTAAGGACTCGACCCACTTCCTCACTGGTGTGTGGCTGGAGTTCAGCTTTAAATCTGTTACAAATTCATTTTTGCATTTAATCTGATATTTTCATTTTGAAAGGTTTTGAATCCACACTCTGCCTAATGTTGTGGTTCAGATGTGTTTCTGTGGTTTGTGTGGACAACGGTTTAGCCTTTGTGGTCAGACAAGTTTTGTAGAGAAAAACATGCAAAAAGTTGTCGGTTCAACTCCGGCTGTCCGGTTGTTATGAGTTTTCACCATCACTGTTCCTGGTACTCCATCACAGGAATGGTGATCATTTATAGTCCTTTGTCTGTATTTACAGAAACTTCTGGCAAAGCAGGAGCTTCAGATGACTCTTCTCAAGCAGGCAGTGGAGGTAACCCGTCAGTTCTGTTGGTTCCTGTGAAGAAAAACAAGTTTGTTCATTTTTGTTAATCCTCCACTCCCATCACAGACCACCTTTGTTCTTAACATAGGAGCAGGATAACCCTGTGACGCTGTTACTGGTGGGTAACATGGTGACTCAACCCAAAGGGGTCATGACCCAATTTAGTGAATTCATTTTTTCTTTAACATGTAGATGTATTTTCTGCCCTTTGCTATTAGTTGAATGGTGCTCAACCTAATGATACTTTTACTCGTGGGCAGTGTTGTCCTCCAATACCAAGTCAACGGAGACGTCAACACAGAGCCAGGGGTGATCTTTACTTTGTGGATTGTCCATTAATATTGAATTAATGTCATTTTCCTTCTGGTTTCAGATTTATGTTCATCATGGTATCCATGAGTTCATCTTTAATCTTGTGGGAACTCTTGAAGCCAGCCAGGTGGGACTGAGCTCATCACTTAAGCTTACTCCTTGTTAACCTGAAGATGGTTCAGATACAACACTGTCTGTCTGTTAAAGACCTTTGGTGTTTGTTTTATTGGTTTGTGTTCTGTCACTGTCTCGTCCATCGTTCTGTTGTTCACGAAGCTCCACCCACAGCCTGTTGTTACGCTCAACTGAACGGAAAAACATCTTAAGTAATTGAACACACGGTGATACCTGAATGGCTTCTTCAAACATTTCGGATCAGCAGGACATGTTTAAGCCACATTAGGTTTTTGTCTCTGGGAACCTTGTTGGAGTGAAATTTCGATTTCTTGTCAGGCCGAGATGCTGTTGACGTTTTTAGAGACCAAACTGAAGAACCAGGACTGAATATTCCAAAGATGTATCTGCTACTGTTGCTTTTAATGGCTGTGTCACATAGCTTCACTCTGCTCCTGCTTGTCAACAGGATGCTGCCTTCAACAAAACCACTAGGAGTCTGCAGGATCTCCAGCAGAAGGACCTGGGAGTCAAGCCGGAGTTTAGGTCAGTCCAGCACTCTCAGAAGGACACTCCCCAGATCTCATGCTGCCTGTTCCTGATTTTCATTTTAAACCAGCGTGGTACCTTTCACTTATTCAGCTGATAGAACTATACTTGGTGAATTTATCTGAGGACCAAGATTTGCAGGTTGTGTTTCTGCTGTTTGCTCCTTTGTAGTATGAACTTGTCTCGGGCAAAGAGAGAGCTGAGTCAGCTCAACCAGCAGACGTCACCCTTCCTCAAACTGCTCTGCCTGCGCAGAGTGGTCATGACCGCCACTCAGACCACTGGACGCACCGGTAAAATCGCAAATCCTCTGTTTGTCATGATAGGTTAGCAGAGAAGATTTTGTTATGTAATGAAAACTAAAGAAATTCAATTCAATTCAAAAATACTTTATTAATCCCAGAGGGAAATTGATTGCTGTAGTAGCTCAGAATAACAATAATAATCAAGTCATCAAAGAGTTATTGTATATTACAATGGCTGTTGGCAGGAAGGATCTCCAGTAGCGGTCAGTGTTGCAGCCAAACTGAAGAAGCCTCTGACTGAAGACACTCTTCCGTTGTCGGACAGTCTTGTGAAGAGAATGCTCAGGGTTGTCCATCATTTTCTTGATTCTCTGGAGAATCCTTCTTTGCATGATCTCCTCCAGCGGTTCCGAAACTGCCGAAACTCTGGCTGAGTCCTTGAAAGGGCTTGGAGTTCCTCCATCTTGTTGGCCAGTGATCTCACATTGCCCATTATGATCGATGGAAGAGATGGTTTGAATTTCCTCTTTCTTTGTCTCCGTTTTACTCCCGCTCTGCACCCACGCTTCTTGCGTGTTAGCTCATTTGGGAATTGTGGCTTCAGTTGAGGTATTATTTCAGCCTTTCCTATGTTAATCAACTGCTCCCGATTGTAAACCAGCTTGTTGCCATGGTTACGCGTCATAACAGATGCTCAAAAAGTTGAAAAAGCTAAAAAGTAGCAGTAAAAATCCTCCAAGCTTCACAGCACCAGAAACAGAAAAGTAAAGTGTCCAAAAAATACAGTTTTTCTTAAGAAACTAGAAGAAAAAATGCCCAAGAAAAGGCAAAACTTACATATAGTCAACAGAGCTATGCAGCCGCCCAGAGCAGCGCAGTTCCGCAAATGTTGCGATATAAAGAAGAACCAGGAGCTCATGCTGGACAGGACTTTCACGTCCTGGGTTTTGTTTTTTCTTAATGATCTTTGTTAAAAGGCAGATTTAGACCTTAGATTTGAACCAAGGTAGGATCTCTTCTAATGCTAGATAAAAACAACAGCTGAGTAAAATCAGACTTTAGTGTCCTTGCTGATTTCTGTCTTATTCTTCTGCAGTAAGTCTAGTAGCTGTGAGTGCAGATGACCTCCTTTCTGTTGTCCTCTACCTCCTGCTGAAGACAGAAATACCCAACTGGTAAGTGTGGAAAACTAATGTAACACACAGTAGGGGGAACAGGGACAGCAGTTTGCTCTCGTGTGCGGCAGGCTAATCCTCTTTGCCTTACTCCCTGGATCACACATGCAGTAGTTACGGAAAGTATTCAGACCCCCGTCAGTTTTCACTATTTATTATGTTGCAGCCATTTGCTAAAATCAATTACATTAATTTGTTTCCTCATTAATGTACACACCACCCCATATTGACATAAAAAGACTGTAACGGGTTAATTTTACATCTATTTAATGAGCCATAAGACATGAGATTCCATTGTAAATATGAAATCAATCTTATGGATCTTTGGGTACTTTTAACCAGAAGATTGGAACTTTTTATTGCAGGGATTATGTAACACTTCGTATTAACTCAGAGACAACAGAAGAGAGAGTCAAGTTTTAAAAGTTTAAAGATTTATTACTAAACAAATTAAAACTAGACTAACTTTAAACATTAAATGTATGGTGTAACTAAGGTGAATTGAGATGGAGAATGGTGTAGTGTGGAATGTTGTTCAGAACCAGCAAATCCGGAGAAACGATTAGTTCTGATGGGAGTGAAGGTGATGTCTTCGCGCTGAGCTTTGATTCGGAGTTTCATAAACACATAAGATGCCATTTTGTCACTCCACACATACCCTTAGGATGAGACCTCCGTACAGATCCAGACTGCCAGGTCCTCGAACCCCTCTTTCGGTACCGGAGCCGATGAAACAGCGTCAGCAGTACGACAGACTAGTCTTTGGATTGTCTCCTGGTAAAACGTGACAGTTGGTTGACAGCGTCAGATGGACCCGGAGGGTCAATGAGTTCAGCTTTTATTCTGAAAGGAACCGTTGCTTGGTTGGTAAAATGCAACAGATTTTATCCAGCTTGTCGTTTCTTTGCTTAAAAAGGAAGTCCGGGTGGCCGGTCCGATACTTCTCTTAGAATGCGGTGAACTGATCTAAGATGGCGTGGGGACTGGTTTTATTAATCTGGATGTTTTGGTTTATGGTGGAATGAAAAGATGACAGATTTACCAAGCACCATTTTCATTTTAGCAAATGGCTGCAATAAAACAAGGTAAAAATGGATGGGGGTCTGAAAACTTTCCATACCCACTGTATGTTGTACTTCAATTTAAATGAAAAGTAATGCTGTGTGTTTCGACCATGCCAGTCACATACTCTGAGATTTATCAGCTTGTAAAAATTTATATTTAGCATGACTACAAACCAGACATTGGTACGTCGCATATATGACACCACCACATAACCTCCTCTCCCCTAGCGTAGCTGCCACTTACTAAATGGCCAGATTTATGGTGGGTCTTTCCTCCTCAGGGAAGGGTTTTAAGTTTGCAGAACTTAGACATTTTTCCTCAGCTTTTTTTCTTTTTGGGTTCAATGATTTCTGTTTGGTGATGCACATTTGTAGTCCTGGACTTATTTTCACACAACCTAAAAGAAGCACTTTCTTGGTATCAAAATATGTCTTTCAAATTCATGGACATCATATGTGAAATCCATGGCACATAACAAACAGGATTAGTAAATAGCGTTTTTAACCCCATTGACCTGCCTTTGTTTTTTCATTCTTTTGGGGACCCATGGTCCGGAAGTAGATGGGCATGACTTAAGCTCCCTATGGGCTTCGGGTGGGTGTGGTCTTTACTGATGTTTTGTGCCTGTTTCTGGCCTGGGTGTTGTAAATGTTCATGAATTATTTGTTACATTTTAATAACATGCTGAAGAACCTTTCTGTACTGAAGAGTGCAGTTTTTATACCTTACAGTGTTGGAGTTTGTGAAATGCTTTGTGCATTCGTAGTCGATGTGCAGTTGTGCATTTGTAGTCGATGTGTAGAAGTTTCAAGGAAAGTCCAAATATCCATATGAAAAAAGGTTTGTTGAGACCTTATTGATGTTTGTTCGGAGAAATTTGAAAGTGTTCACACTCTCCATCTGTTCATGAGAATTGGGCGTGTTGATCTGTTGTCCTACCTTGGGTCAAGATGAGGTTATTTTCCAAACGGGTGAGACACCACTTCACTGTAGGCTGCCTTCTTTCTCTCCATATGTGAGCAGACTAGTGGTTGTAGTGTTATCAGCAGCAAACGTGATGATGGTGGTGTTACTTTGTGAGCCTGCTGTAGGTGAAAAGGGTGTACAATAGTGGACTGAGCACACATCCTTGGGGGATCCCTGCATTCATTAGGGGTGGGAATCTTTAGGAACCTCATTATTTTACTTGATTACAGTTGATAGGGTTACAATTTAATCCAAACTTTTTCAAAACACTTTTTCCATTTTAAAAGGCTTTTTGATTTTTGGTGTTTCACCAGGATGGCCAACCTGAGCTACATCAGGAACTTCTGTTTCAGCTACTCCAGCAAAGACGAGCTCAGCTACTGTCTGAGCACATTCGAGGCAGCAGCGAAGTACATCAGCCTGGGAAACCTGCAGGACACACACTCTGTAGGACACTCAGGACAACCCATTGGCAGATGTGGGCAGATGGACGACAACCCCGGTGTTAACAGTTTGTGTTGGTCCCTCTTTACCTTTAGATGTCAGGTGGACTCAATTACAAGGCTGTGTTTAAAGACAGGATGAGTTTACTGAACCAGAATGCTACCACACCCATCCAGCATCTTTTTGAGGTGAGATTCAAAACACCCCCATACAGAAACTACATGTTTATCTCATCAGTACAGTGATCCAGTGGAGTTTCCTGTTACAGCTTTTCATTTTTGCTATAAAATCTTCAGAACCAGTACACTAAGCTGCTTGTCCCTTTTACAGTGGTTAAAAGGTCAGAGTCCAGAGCTACTACTGAAGGAACACAACTTAGATGCATTTCATATTACACCGTCTTGCAAAAGTATTCAAATCCCTTGAATTTTTACACATTTTGACAGTTTACAACCACAAATGTATGTTTTATTGAGATTTTCTGAGATAAGCCAATACAAAGTTGCATATAAATGTGAAGTGGAATGAAACAATGTTTTATTGTTTTTAAAAATCATTTTCCTAAGATGTCAATCAATGAATCAATCAAACTGATGCACGGTTTTAAGAAATTGTATGCAAGTAAAATCTAATAAGTGTAGCGTCCATTTGTATTCAATACTTTGTAGTTACTTTTCACTTCAATTACAGCTGCAAGTCTTTTGTAGTCTGATATGCAGTCTGTCTGGAATGTTGTTGATTTCTTCTCCGTCCTTCCTGCTCTCTGTGAGGATGGAGTCTTTTTCTTTCCCTCCTCTTAACCCTGTCTTTACTTGCTGCTCTTTGTCCTACCAGTCTATCTGTCCCTGTCGGAAAGCACTCGGTTGGATACGTGATGAATTATTTGGGGAAGTTTAAGATCGTGTGTCTGTTGCTGTTGTCCATGCAGGATGTAGAAGATATTCATATAATTGGCCTCATGATAACCTGGTTTCTACTGATGGGAGCGGGCAGGTTCCTGGCACATCACAAATTTCAGAAGCTGTCTGGAGCATTTGGCAAGCTGCCTGACCTCTACTGAGGTTGCACGAGAAAAATCGTAGGCTGGATGGTCTGACCAGCAAACTGGCTGCAGTTTCCAAACTTGTGCTCAGAGTGGAAAACAGCTTTCTTAGCACGGCTTGGTGGAAACTGACCTGGTTCTGCTGTTAGGCGTTGTCCTTGAGACCACTGAGAGACATTAAGGCAGATGCAACAAGCTCTAGTCTAGCTTGTACAATAACGATTGCTGGTACCTGAATCTGGCTCCCCCATGTCGGCCTTGGCAGGATGAACATTTCAAACTCCTCTGGATGTTTTTGTAGAGAGATGCTCTGTCCCACCCTCCCGATCCTCACATGGGACCTTTGAGCTTCTTGATCAGCTTTTCTTAAAGTTACATCTAAGGCAACGTCCTCTGGGATTGACCTAAGGGAAAGTTCACATACTCACTTACCAGTGTTGGGCAAGTTACTTCAAAACTGTAATGCATTATTTATTACTTGTTACCCTCATTTTAAAGTAATTCATTACATTACAATATTACTGATTTAATAATGTAAGGCATTACACTACTTTTGCATTACTTTAAGTTACTTTTACCAATACAACTTCAATGTGAATCTGGTAATGTGACGTTCAGTGAGCTCATGACATATATGTGGAAGGTGATGTGGTGTCTGAGCTAGGATTGCTGTTAAAACAGTCAGATATAATAACAGTGCTTTAAAATGATTGTTTATTAAATAAAAGCAACAACAATCTTTACTCTCAACACGCTGCCATCTTATAGGGCCATCTGAGCAGGGAGTGAGGTGGTGGGGGCTCCAAGCCTATATTTGCCTTGGTCCCCAAATGCCTTGATATGGCCCTGGATGTGGGACTGACTTCTGGGGTGATCTGATTCTATCACATGTATAAATATTAAATGCTTATATATTATTGCTTTTCACTGGTAAAAATGTGTATTGGGGATAAATCTACCTACTTTTTTCTTTTCAAGCACTTTCTTTTGTTTTCTTGATTTTATTTGATAATTTCCTGCCCTTTCTCTCTCTAACCTTCCTGCATGCTGCATGTTTTCTCCGTCTTCCAGAAAAAACTGTTTCCTAGACTTCCTACTTTCTATCAGCCAAAGGGATCTTCACATGCGCGGCGCTCCAGCAGTAATGTGTTGAAATCACCGGGGCACAGATTATGAACTCAGCTGAGGCAAAATACGTCAGAAAAGCACAAAATACCAGAGAATATGCGCTGATATGAACGATCGCAAGTGAATTATTTTGTTTTAGTGGAGCGATTTTGTGAATGTTACAGCGGCCGCGTGCAGGAGCAGCAGGAGTATTTGAGCCGTTGCCGCGGCGTCCTCTCTGCCCGCAAAGCTGAGTCCATAAATGACGTCATATATGCAGATACTGGATCTTTCTTCGGGTTTCCCGCAATTTGAATTTTTAAGGAACACATCTTGATTCTGGGTTTAAAAATGCATTATAATTACCACGTTACTGACAATTGTACCGAGTAAATATTACCATTTTCTTTCCCTGTAATGCCTTACATTACCACATTACAGCAAAAAGCAATGCATTACAGTAATTAATTACTTTTGTACCGCATTACTCCCAACACTGTCACTTACTTACTGATGCACACAAGCATGCATGTTCACCACAATTCACAGACACACATGCATTCCTTGATCCCTACATGCTTGCCCCTCCCCTGATCCTCACTTCTATGCAACGAGGCTTTAGAGCCAGTGTTTTATTGCCTCTGGTGTCTCATGTTTGCAGATGACATATTAGGTGCTTTTACAAGACACACCATGCCGGTAAATCGGCGTAGTATTACCGCAATGGTATGTCTATAAATGTGCCATGCCGGCATGGCGTTGCGCGAATATTGCGGCATTCGTTCCGCCTCGCTTGGTAGTAATATTGTGGTAATGGTCTGTCGTGTGCGCCCTGGCGCAACAGAGGCAGATGTCATGATGACGTGGGGAGTTATTGCTGAGCTCGGGCTGGCAAATTTATTGAAAATGAAAGTAAACACAGGCAATAAGGTTTGCTTTTTGAGCAAAATCAGCTGAGATGGCAAACTGGAGCACCGCAACGCTCCATGAGCCTCTCTGTTAGAGCTGAAGCTCAGATCGCCAGAGACTGCACAGGGACTGATGGGGACAGACACCTTTAGGAGCTGCTTGTTAAAAAAAACACTTAACAATCTCGGCTTCAATTGCAATAAAAAGCAAGTTATGGTCAAGATAAAGGTAAGTCTGCTGCAGCACAGAGACCGCCCCCATACCCTCTTTATGCCACCATCACCTAATCTTTTATAAAAATGCCATCCGATTGTGCCACATTACCGCCACGGTCTGATCTTACAAATGACCTTTATCCTCCCCAGGGAGCCGCAGCAAATCCCCTTTTGCAAACGCTATGGTCCTATAAAAGCAGCTATTGGGTGAAGGTACACTGCAAACACAGTAATGAATATAAACTCCTATGGCAGATGGTATGGCTTCATGCTAACTGTTTGCAGCTCAATTTCCTTACCGCCAAGTCTTTGGTAGACAAATCTCCAGAGTTATCTATCATTCACAAGCAGCGAGACCCGCTCCTCTCTTCTTACCTTCACCTCTTCGGCCCAGATCAGATGAAAACCGTTCATGTTTACATGTGTAATGCGCTTTGATGCTGAAATCACACCTGTCTGAGCCACAGATTTCCTTTTGAAATTAGACGCCTCTCCGCAGAACTTCACACCCGAGGCCTTTGGTCCTGTTTTGATTTGCGTCTCAGATTGTCTCATCTCATCTGTTCTTCAGCACATCGCAAGTGGAAATGAAGCTGAAGTGGATCGATTGCTGAGTGAAAGTGAGGGGGGTGAAGATGTAAGGATGTGTCACCCCCTGTGTTCGTGTGATCTTTGTGATGCCCAGTTGTCGGGGTCAGTGTCTACACACACACAGACACACACACACACACACACACACACACACACACACACACACACACACACACACACACACACACACACACACCAGCTCAAAGAGCACCTGACAAGCCTCAGGCTAAACTTGCACTGTAAACCCAAAAGTTCAAAACAATCAAATATATTGAGTAGATGAAACTCATAATTAAAAAAATGATTTTAGAACTCAAATGTGTTGAGCTTGTTTAACCTTTTCCTGGTTTTAAGTACATAGAACTCAAACTTTTTAATTAACCTGAACAATTTCTTTTTTAAGTAAGCATAGCTTAAATTAATCAATAACGGACAACTTAATTTTAATGAGTAATGTTAACCAAAAAATAATTGATTTATTTTATGTTTCTATATTATTTCATTCATCTTTACGTCAACCCTAAAGTGTGTTTGATAAACAGACTTGTATATTATTTTAAATATTTGTGGATTTACAAGAAAAACAACCACAAACTAGCAATTTTGTTGGATTTCAGGAACAATAAACAACTGGTGGGGGAGGTGCATTGTGGGTAGTCATGTTTTCAGTTATTTTGCTCTATTTTGGGGTGTTTATTCATGTTTATTGTGGAGGATTGTTGTTCTCAGTTATTATTTAATTCAGTGTTGCAGATGTGGTGCTACTTTTTGTATCATGTTGGCACTATAAGAGAGGAGGTTGGTCAAAGTAATGCTGTACGGCTGTGCTGTCCCATTGTTAATAATACTGTGGTTGTTCACACCAGATGCTCTTGACTTGACTTTGAGTGTTCCACTTTCATTGGCTGTTAGCATTTATGGGTGTGTGAGTCATGATCTGGTGCCAGTTACTGCCTTCACCAGCCTGCCACGTTGTCATTTCTAAGTAAATTCAACTTTTTTGGGTTAGGGTTTAATAGTTCCATTTAGATTTCATATAAGTTATAATATTTAAGTTAGTAAAAATATATAATAAAGTTCAAATAAAATAAAATATGCAAGTTTAGTTAAATTAAACTTTGTAAGTTGCTTAAGTACTAAGTTATAGGTTGGAGGTAGTTAAATGCTTTGATTTTATTCAGGTCATATTTTTTTAAGTTATGGTAAACTTATAGTTTTTAGATAGTTAACTTAAAAATTATTAGGTAATCAGTTTCCTCATAAATTTTGAGTTCAGTGAACTTATTCAGGGTTACAGTGTGCTAGGGTCTACTCTGGAAGAGACTGTGACATTAGCTGAACTTCGACCTGGTGTGATATATAACTGATTGTTCCAGTAAGATCCCTTTTTACTGCCTGGTTGAATAAGTAGATTTTTAATGTCTTTTGAGCCACAGAGTAGAAAAATCAGCATTTCAGAGGCAACTATTCTGAAGTCTAGGAGGCAGAGCCTGAAATGCCCTGTCCCCTTTAGTTTTTAGTGTGTGGAAGAGCTAGCTGGTCTCGAGACGAGGATCGAAGGTTACAGGGGGCTTGTTGGGATGGAAGCTAAGAGGTAGTCAGAAGCTTGATTGTTCTGTAGGTTCTGAGTTCTACATGGAGCCAGTGTAGGGAGTGTAGAATCAGGATACACTGCTGGATTTAGTTAGTCTGGCTGCTGCTCTGTCTGCAATTGAAACCGTTATACAAAGTTTTGAGATTTTACTTAATTGGAGGCTACGAGAATGAGAGATGGATTTGAGGTGTTAATGGAAGCTTAAAACGGAATCAAAGACAACTCCTAGATTTAGTCCTGGAGGTGCAACATTCAGGGTCTTTGTCTTTGTTTATGTATTTAGCAGATGCTTTTGTCCAAAGCGACTTACAAGTGATTATCGGCATGTTGCCCTTGAGGCTAACAACAACAATAACAACAACAACTTGACATCAGTCATGGAGAGGAGGGAACAAGGAGTGGACAGTAGAGAGGGGGAACGGGTGCAGGGAGGGTACTAGTTAAGAAGATGCTCTCTGAAGAGCAGGGTTTTCAGGAGTTTCTTGAAAATTGAATAGGAAGCTCCTGTTCTGGTAGTGCTTGGAAGGTCATTCCACATTTGTGGAACGATGCATGAGAAGAGTCTGGATTGTCCTGAGCGTGGTGTAGGCACTGCTAGCCGATGATCCTGTGATGACCGGAGCGGCCGGGCCAAGACGTAAGCCTTTGCAAGAGGATTCAGGTAGATGGGAGCCGTACCATCTCGGACTTTGTATGCTAGTGTTAGCAATTTGAATTGGATGCGTGCTGCTAGCGGTAGCCAGTGGAGCTCAATGAACAGAGGGGTGACGTGTGCTCTTTTTGGCTGATTGAAGACCAGACGCGCTGCTGCGTTCTGGACCATTTGAAGAGGTCTCACAGTACAGCCTGGAAGACCAGTTAGAAGGGCATTGCAGTAATCGAGGCGGGAGATGACAGTAGAGCACCAGGAGCTGGGTGGCATGTTGTTGTTAGGTATGGTCTGATCTTTTGTATGTTATACAGCTCAAAGCGGCATGAACGAGCAACAGAGGCAACATCTTTAAAGGTCAAGTGTTCATCAATCACAACAACGAGATTTCAAACTGCCTTTGAAGGAGCCAGAGATCGGAAGTCATTTTGTATTGAGATATTGTGCTCTATGGATGGTTTTGCTGGGATGACAAGTAGTTCAGTTTTAGAGAGATTGAGTTGGAGATGATGGGATTTCATCCATTTTGATATGCCAGAGAGACAGTTTGATATTCGTGCAGAGACAGTGTGGTCGTCCGGTGGAAATGACAGATAGAGCTGGGTGTCATCTGCATAGCAGTGGTAGGAGAAGCCATGTGATCGAATGATCTCACCCAGTGAGGTGGTGTGTATGGCAAAGAGAAGAGGTCCTAGTACAGAGCCCTGGGGGACTCCTGTGGCAAGATGGTGCACGGTAGAGGATTGTCCAAGCCAAGATACACTGAATGATCATCCTGTGAGGTATGAATCAAACCAGGCATGTGCTTTCTCTGTGATGCCCATGCTAGAGAGTGTGGACAAAAGGAAGCCATGGCTGACAGTGTCAAATGCTGCCGATAAGTCCAGCAGGATAAGCACTGAGGATTTGGCTGTTGCTCTAGCTTTTTTTAAGGATTCCGTCACTGCTAACAGAGCAGTTTCAGTGGAGTGGCCCTTTTTGAACCCAGATTGGTAAGGGTCAAGCAGACAGTTTTGTGAGAGGTATTCTGGGATCTGCTTGAAAGCCACCGTTTCAATGATTTTGGACAGAAAAGGGAGGAGAGAGATAGGTCGGTAGTTCTCCACATGATTTGGAGGAAGAGATGGGGTTTTTTAGCAGCGGTTTAAACTGAGCATGCTTGAGAGAGGTGGGAAATGTACCCAATGTCAATGAAGCGTTGATCACATGTGCGACTGCTGCGGCTACTGTAGGAGCAATAGCTTGGAGCAGCTTAGTCAGAATGGGTTCAAGTGGGCATGTAGTAGGATGGCTGCACGTGAGAAGCTTGGACACACCGTTCTCGGTGAGAGGGGAAAGAGAGGAAAATGAAGCAGTAGGGCTGAGATGGTTGGGCTAGAAGGAGTTTGTGGTAGTGAATGTTCAGGAGTGGCCAGTTGAGTAAACTGTTTGCTTATAGCTGCCATTTTGTCAGTGAAGAATGAGGCAACGGTGTCAGCTGATAGTGTTGGTAGGAGGTGGAGACGGAGGGTTGAGCAGAGTTTTAAATGTTGAAAATAGTTTCTGAGAGTCAGTGGAGCTGAGAATTTTGTCAGTGTAGAAAGCTTTCTTTGCATCAGTGATGCTGGCAGAGAATGAGGACAGTAATTCATGAAATTTCAATTGATCACCAGGATCTTTCGTTTTGCGCCTTTTCCATTCCGCAGCTCTAAGATTGGTGCGTAGAGACCGGAGGGTATCATTTAGCCAAGGGTGCGACTGAGAGGATCTAGCAAGTCTAGTGGCTAGAGGGCACAAGTTGTTAAGACAAGAGCAGAGTGTGGAGCAGAGTTACTCGGTGGCATCATTCACTTCATAAGGAGAGAATGTGCTTGGAGATGGAAGAGTGGAGGCAACAAGAGGGGAGAAGTGGTTGGGTGCCAGATTGCGAGGTTGCGGCAGAATGAGACCACTGGGGAGGAAGCAGTGGACCTCCCTTGTAGAGTCACGCTGAAATGGATGAAGCAATGATCGGAAGGATGCAGTGGTGTGACAGATATTGTGTCTATGGCACAGTTTCTGGTGAAAATGAGGTCAACTGCTTTTCCAGCTTTGTGAGTTGGAGGACTTTGTACTAGTTATAGATCAAATGATGACATTAGTGACAGGAAGCCTGATGAGCTGGGATTGTCCAGGTGAATATTCATGTCTCCAAGGACCATTGTGGGACAGTCGTGCTCAGGAATGGAGGGGAGCAGGGTGTCGAGTTCATCAAGAATGTCTCCGAGTTGACCTGGTTGGCGATATATGACAACAAAAAAGAATTTTTTCGGTACAGTTACCTGGATGGCATGGTATTCAAAGAAGTTGCATTTAGTGATGGGTAGCAACTGACAGTATATCCATTTGTTGGAAATTAACATGCCCGTTCCACCACCTCGGCCAGATGCACGAGAAGTGTGGGAGAAAGTGTGGTTAATTGAGAGAGCAGATGGGGTAGCATTGTCACATGGTTTGATCCAGGTCTCAGTGAGAGCCAGTGCATCGAGTGACAGGTGGTCTGCATATGCAGTAGTAAAGTCTGCTTTGTGTAGTTATTTAAATTACATGTTATTTAATAAGCCATAAGGCGTAGGATTCCATAGGAAATATAAAGTCAACCTTATGGATCTGTTGGGTTTTTTTAACCAGAAGATTGGAACTTTTTATTGCAGAGATTAGATAACAGCTTCGTATTCACTCAGAGACAACAGAAGAAAGACAGTCAAGTTTAAAGTTTAAAGATTTATTACTAAACAAATTAAACTAGACTGACTTTAACACTAAATGTATGGTGTAACTAAGGTGAATGAGACGGAGAATGGTGTAGTGTGGAATGTTGCTCAGAACCAGCAAATCCGAAGAAATGATTAGTTCTGATGGGAAATGAAGGTGATGTCTTCGCATTAAGCTTTGGTTAGGAGATTCATAAACACATTTGACGCAATTCTGTCGGCCTACTTACCCTTGTGGAAGTCCCCGTTAGATCAGGAATGTAGAGGTCCAGCTTGACCCTCTCTGGAACCGAAGCCGTTAGGAAAAGCAGAGGTTGCCGACCAGACCAGTCTTTGAGATACTTCCGGGTCACAACAGTTTGTTGACATCTAGCGAGACCCAAACCTGGGTCATGATGGTTCAGCTTTTATTCTGAAAGGAACCGTTGCTTGGTTGGAACAGCAACAGATTTTATCCAGCTTGTTGTTGGTTCTTTTGGCTGAAGAGGAGAGTCACGGATTGGCCACTCCGACACTTTCTCTAGAACGCTTTGAACTGCGTTAACGATGACGTGGGCATAGGTTTATACTTCAGATGTTTTGGTTTATGGTCGAATGAAAAGGTGACAGATTTACCAAACACCACCAAAACCACGCCTCCGTCAGATCTGGCAGATTCTGATTGGATCAGTAAAAGCAATGTGTCGTCTCTTAACGTTACGTGAGATCAGTCCTAGTGGAAACATTTAAAGTCATATTACTTATTATATTCTATAGGATTATAATAAAGTAAATAATATTTTGATTTCACAGATTGGTCACATCTTATTATTGACTAACACTTTGTTTGATTAGCTTTATTAAAAATAGAGTTTTTTGATTTATTAAAAGGAGAGAGTCCATTCTTCATTCTTGTCTTGAGCTGGAAAGAAAGCAGTTTATAACAAATGCATGAGACCTTGAAGCAGTCTCATGCAGACTAGTTCTGTGTCAGAGGAGAGGCAGAAATGACTTTTGGTGGAAAACAGTCATTTCATATCGTTACATTTGTTTACAGCTGATTGGCAGTTCCACAGTCCCATAGACAGGTGGGTGTCTTCGGGGGGAGTCTGTTTTAGCGAGCGGAGGTTTTGAAGGTTGCGAAAGCAGTTTGCTGTGTGTGACTTTCCTCTGAAGCCAGTGATCACAGATATAAGATAATGGCACATTTTGCTAGATGTCGATGGAGCAGCGCCTGGGTTGAGTTTGTTTGCTCTGTGTACATGCGCAGGGAGACACGTATGCCTTTACCCCAGAGTGTCTTCATACCGTAGGGGCTGAGACACAAAGGCTGACGCTTCAGTTATGCCACCAAACTTATGCTGTGCTACTAGTTGGAAACGGGTGTTCATGCAGCAGCTGATTGCAATGGTTGAGGCCTAGATCACCCGATGAGTGTTTTCAGGGAGGGGAGAAACAGCTTGTTCACAGCCCCTGATTGCACTTATTGTTTTCAGTTGGCCCAAACCGGAGCTACTAGACAACAGGATTACCCACAGATGAGTTTCCTTCTCTTTTCCCAATGGAAGATAGTGCAATGCAAAGGTTTAAGAAGGCAAAAACAAGCACTAACAGACACTCAAGGCCCTTCGGTGCAGATTCAAGTCTTGATGATACACAGAACAAGAACATTGCTGATCTGAGTCAGACAGAGAACAGTGGTGTCCAGCCTGTCCAACTGATGGGGCCTGAAGGACATTTGGATGTCATCAGCGTAGAAGTGGTTTGATTTGTCAAAGACTGAATGATGGAGGTTAAAAGAAGGATATAGAAAGAAAATAATAGAAGTCCCAGAACTGAGCCTTGTGAGACCTCACGCAGATGAGCTCCAGTGTATATCTGCTGAATCTGCCTGGCTGCAACCCTGCAGAGAAACTCACATAGAGCTTCCTCTCCCCAGCTTTTCCAAAGCAGCAAAAAAATATCTACGCTCCTTCTCCATTTCCTTCGCCATGGTCTCTGAGACAGCTGCATGCCCACAGGTCACAAAGAAACCCCAGGATTCATGCCAGATTCTAGCAGTGGAGAGAAATGGATCCAATAGTGCATTTCAGGAGGTTGTTCATCCCGGATCTGGTGGGTGACAAACAACGAGTATTGATCATATGTTGGAAGGGAAACGGCACCAGGTAGCGATAATATGCAACCAAGAAGATCAAGAGCCTGGCAAACAAGCAGCCACTCAGAGACGCCATCTTTTGTTTGATGTTAATCTGTTTTTATCAGGCCAGTTAAAGTTCCTGCTTCAGTCAGCCCTTCATGAATCATGAAACTTGTATTCACAAGTCTGCTGCACCTGCCCTGAACTATAAACCTGTTTCCATGTGGCTTTGTGTTTCAGTCGGCTGAATGACCTGTCCATAGTTACACCATCCTCTAGAGATGACAGAGGTTACACTCCGCTGCACGTTGCTGCCCTTTGTGGTGAGCTGCTGCTGACACATTCTCAGAAGGATAAAACTCAGAGAGATGTTCCCACAAAGATGAAATCCCCTCTTTTTCACTGTTTCAGGCCAGGCCCAGCTCATTGACATGCTTGTGCATAAAGGAGCTCCAGTGAACGCCACAGACTACCACGCCCTCACGCCGCTGCACCTAGCCTGTCAGCATGGATATCAGGGAGTTTGTGTAAGACACACACACACACACACACACACACACACACACACACACACACACACACACACACACACACACACACACACACACACACACGCTTGTTGTCTTACTCATCAACATGAAGGACATTTGATGGTGTTACTCTGCTTCACACCAAGTCTCTCAGAAGACCAAAAGCTCCCAAAGACTCTTTCCATCTTTTTGGGCTGCCTGTGTAAACTCTCCAATCAGGATTAAAAATCATGTAAATGTTTTCTGTTAATGTTTGGTTTTAGAATGATGTGCCTAAGATGGGCTAATTCAAAAAGCCACATCATGCTTAAGGAAATTAGAATAGACCCCCTCTTCACCTATCTGCTCTGGAAATGCAGCAGCTCTACTCTGAGCCCCTTCTATATGTATGAGTTCCTCAGCTTATATCAGCCAATCAGTGGATGGGTAGGCGTGGCCAGCTCCAGAGTGACGGAGCCCTGAAATGGCTCATTCTGGAAGGTACTGAAACAAAAAGAATAAAGCTGCTGAAATCACTATATGTGAGAAGGTGCAAAGAACTTCATAAACATGTTTTGTATTGATCACAGAACTGTTACAACAAAAAATCATAATATGTCCCCTTAATGAGGTCCTTCACTCAGAAACCATTTTTTATTTCTTTTTTTAAAATGTTCGGTCACGCAGAGTTTAAGACGCAGACTGAATGATAGAGTTGTGTCACAGAGCCTGACTGCTCTACATCACACTGGTGAGTGGACTCACCCATTCTCTCGCAACAGGGAAGGCTGTAGGTGGTTTAGCATCCAGGAAACAGCAGAGAATGCCTCGACTAGTAGGAGCTAACTGTTAGCATTAGCAACTCCACCACACAGCTGAACTCCTCCAGACTTGTGTTAATTGTGGTGATAAAACGTCAAAGTTGCAGAGCAAACAGTCAGTGGTAGTCACGTTGCGTTTAGCCAATCAGAGGTGAGATGTCCAAATACCAGGAAATAAGACTCCAAATTGTGTGGTCTGAAGCTACATTCTCCTCCAGCTGAATTGTCTGTGCTGAAGCAGGCACATCTGAGCCAACCCCCAAATAGGACATTCATTCCCACTAGAGACCACTACAAGTTCTTCAAGCTCCAGGGTCACACAAATAGCATCTATGTTGTCAGAGGGCTCATTTTAGTTTTCTAAGAAAATGGATCAATCAAACATTCAAGCCCACTTCAAAAACAATCATTTTAAAAATGAGTCATCACTGTTTTATGACTGTTATAGTTAGATCAATGTGTTTCTGGCTCCTCCTGTCCAGCTGCTGCTGCTGCACTACAAGGCCAATGCCGACGCCCAGGACAACAATGGCAACACTCCACTGCACCTCGCCTGCATGTACGGGCACGAAGACGTATGTCAGGCGCTTCCTTCTCCACTCAACGCATCCAAACCTCCATTTGGTGGTTTTTTATATTTAAGTTTTAGTAACTTTTGACATTCGTTTTAGGAGTTGTCTGCTTAGATTTTTGAAACGTGTGTGTGTGTGTGTGTGTGTGTGTGTGTGTGTGTGTGTGTGTGTGTGTGTGTGTGTGTGTGTGTGTGTGTGTGTGTGTGTGAGAGTGTGCGTGTGCGTGTGCGTGAGCGTGTGTGTGTGTGTGCGTGCGTGCGTGCGTGTGTGTGTGTGTGTGTGTGAGTGTGAGTGTGTGTGAGTGAGTGAGATAATCTTTGTCAGAAAGCAGCAGGGCCCTATTATGATGGTCAGGCAGCCTGCAGGTCATGTCTTTTTGGGCTGAACAATTTTAGGAAACATGATCACGTTGTGTAAATTCCCAATCACACATATTTTTGTGCGTATTTAAACGGAGGTGTCTGGTGTTCCCTCACGCGCACAGCCAAAGGCATCTGGATTGTGAGTGACTAGGCAGTTTTCTTGATTTGAGCTGATGAATGTGTCTTTTAGCAGGAATTCCACACAGTCTTTGTTCTTGAGGCCTCTGATTTAAACATGCTGGTCCACTCCAACTCGCAGAAGCTCTCTAGAAGTTTCTAAACTGCTGTTGGAAGTTTGAAGCATCAGCTCCCTCCACTTATTTTCTCCGAGACTGAAGTCTTCTGACTGCCTGGCCCACTCTTTGACCTGTATGTGCTTCTTCTGTAAAAGCTCCTTAGTTGTCTTTCTGGTGTTTTTTTGTAGATGGATGTTTACGAGTTCCTCAACATTTCCTCCATGGTCTTTTGGGATGTTATTTTCTGGTAAACAGAAGATGGGCCTGGCTGGCCTAGAGAGGTTGTTCTAGATAAAATGGACTCTGGACCGCTGTACTTAACAGACATGATAAATTTAGATCAGGAGTGTTATTGGTTTGGTTTTGTCATCGGTGTAGCCTGTGAGAGCCACTTATCTGGCTGGCTGTAACAGATGCACTACACTTTTTCATCCATGTGTTGTGCTTTTTAATGCATTTTATTTCATATTTTGTCTAATTTTACTTTTTAATTGCTACTGGCTGCAATTTATCACTAACTATTAAGTTAGAATCCACATAAGGCTCAGATACAGCAAATATGTTTACAAAGTAAAAGTTACAAGCTCCCTGAAAAAGGGCGGTGACGTACCCCAGTTACGTGAGTTTACGTTTTCAGAAGGAAATAAGACTTCCCATTGTGTTCTTTTTGTTTCGATCAGTGTGTGAAGGCCTTGGTCTACTATGATGTCCAAACATGCCGCCTGGAGCTGCAGAACGATAAAGGTGACACGCCCCTGCACATGGCAGCTCGATGGGGCTACGAGGGGATCATCCAGGTGCTTTTGGAGAACGGAGCAAGCACCTACATCCTCAATAAGAGCAGAGAGTCTCCAATTCAGTGTGCACTGAACTCTAAGGTCAGAGGTCAGACAGAACATTTGTTCTTGGGCTTTAAACTGTTGATTCACAATGACAAATGATGTCACGCTGCAGGATGACTTCATTAGGAATGCATGGGCGTCGCACCCGTGGGGGATTCAACACCCACACTTTTCCAGCTGTTTTGCTCACCTCCACACCAGTCTGGTTTCTCTACGTCGCACTCACTCTGTTTGCCTCATTTCCTTCTTCCCCTAAACCCGACATCGGCTGTCGGGTTTCAAGGAGAAACAGGAGAGGGAGGGAGGGAAGAGCTCGACTGAATTCATAATTTGACATCTTGACATTAGCTGTACAAACTCTGAGTTTGATAAAGTGAAGAACAACAATTTGCAGAGGTGTATAACAGGCGCGGCGCCAGGTTTTCATTTTTGGGTGGGTCACGGTACTTTTGGACGGACCTAAATAAGCAGTGACTTAAGTGAAGCAGGCAGGTCGCGCTAGATAATGTCGTTTAAAAACACGTCATAAATTTTTTCCCCCGTCATTTTTATTTCTAAAATATGAAGTAAAAACTCCCAATTTAATTTTCATTAATTTTTTTCATTTATAGGCACCAGAACCTGCACTTCTAATATTTACCTCTCAACGTAGGACTCTTTCATAAGGGTGCATGCACACCAGTAGTTTTTACGGTTATTCATGCGGCAAAATCTCCCACATTTTTGAAAAAAATAAATAAAAATAATCCATCTTCCAGTAAAAGCAGAGCATCCAGCCCACCTCTCCAGATGCGTAAAATGTGCATCACAGCCGCTAGGCGCGCCGCGCGCACAGTCAGCTACGTCAGCCCAGACAAGAGCAGATCAAATAGAGAAAGAATAGAGGATAATTGTGTCTGGATGTGGATGGAGATTACATTTTACAGCAGCCTGATCATAATTTAAATACGTAAACCATCACCTGTCTTCTAGTCCACGCTATCAGCATTATTTTAATTGGTGTGTGTGTGTGCGAGCGTGCGTGCATGTTCCACATCAAACACTGGTCTAACCAACCAGACCAGCGTGTCCAGTAACATATTAATGTTATCATTAAACAGTTTCACTTCATGTAGGCTATAGGAACGTTTCACCTGCCGTGGCCCGACCGCTTCTGCTCCATATAAACTGTGCGTGATCAAATGTCTCTACAGGTGCTTTCTGAGCTGAAGAGGCTATTCTGCCTCAGACTGGATGCGTCATGCGTCTCCATATTAGAGACGGGAACAAGCGCTATTCAGCCAAAGTTTCATAATCAGAGAACATTTTTCCAAGTGACACATCCCTCAGAGAGACCAGGTTTCCAGACCGTTTCAGTGGGAGGAAATCTTACTGCATGCGCCGTGGTTCTGCGCTGCGCTGTGAACCCCTCTACAGATCTTCAAGCCCACTGTCCACCGTGTGCGCTCCGATCCGCGCTGATCACAGTGTCCAGTATAAAGCTCTGATGTTCTGATGGGAATCATTTCTTGATTGATTTTGTTACCTCCGCGATGTGCGTTAACGATTAAAATGTCAGCTCATCAGTGTGCATTGGTGTAATTCTTTCAAAACAACCAACATCCCTGAGTTTATCGTCAAAATAAACAGTCAAATGGAAATATCTGTAACCTGCCATTTAACTGTTTTGCCTTCTTGTGAAGATTGTTGCAAAGAGAAAAATTAAACTTGATTAACCCCAGAGCCATGCGCACTGCGCTGTACTCCGTGACTGTAAACGAGGGGGAAATGATTTAATCGGATCCTTTTCATTTCAACATGGTTTAATGTAAAAATTCATTCAGTACAAACTTTAGTTACACCATTCTAACAAGACAGAGCCTGGATTTGTATTCTTCGTCTTCGTCTTCGTCTTCCTCCGCTTATCCGGGTCCGGGTCGCGGGGGCAGCATCCCAATCAGGGAGCTCCAGGCCGTCCTCTCCCCGGCCTTGTCCACCAGCTCCTCCGGCAGGACCCCAAGGCGTTCCCGGACCAGATTGGAGATGTAACCTCTCCAACGTGTCCTGGGTCGACCCGGGGGCCTTCTGCCGGCAGGACATGCCCGAAACACCTCCCCGGGGAGGCGTCCAGGAGGCATCCTGACCAGATGCCCAAACCACCTCAACTGGCTCCTTTCGATCCGGAGGAGCAGCGGTTCTACTCCGAGTCCCTCCCGAATGTCCGAGCTCCTCACCCTATCTCTAAGGCTGAGCCCGGCCACCCTACGGAGGAAACTCATTTCGGCCGCTTGTATCCGCGATCTCGTTCTTTCGGTCATTACCCAAAGCTCATGACCATAGGTGAGGATTGGGACGTAGATCGACCGGTAAATCGAGAGCCTGGCTTTCTGGCTCAGCTCCCTCTTCCCCACGACAGATCGGCTCAGCGTCCGCATCACTGCAGACGCCGAACCAATCCGCCTGTCGATCTCCCGATCCCTCCTACCCTCACTCGTGAACAAGACCCCGAGATACTTAAACTCCTCCACTTGAGGTAGGACCTCTCCCCCGACCCGGAGGTGGCAAGCCACCCTTTTCCGGTCGAGAACCATGGTCTCAGATTTGGAGGTGCTGATCCTCATCCCAGTCGCTTCACATTCGGCCGCGAACCTACCCAGCAAGAGCTGAAGGTCAGAGCTGGATGAAGCTAGGAGGACCACATCATCCGCAAAAAGCAGAGACGAGATTCTCCTGCCACCAAACTCTACACACTCCACACCACGGCTGCGTCTAGAAATTCTGTCCATAAAAGTGATGAACAGAACCGGTGACAAAGGGCAGCCCTGGCGGAGTCCAACCCTCACTGGGAACAGGTCCGACTTACTACCGGCTATGCGGACCAAACTCACGCTCCTCTGGTAAAGGGACTGAATGGCCCTTAACAGAAAGCCACCCACCCCATACTCCTGGAGCGTCCCCCACAGGGTGCCCCTGGGGACACGGTCATAAGCCTTCTCCAAATCCACAAAGCACATGTGGATTGGTTGGGCAAACTCCCATGCCCCCTCCATCACCCTTGCAAGGGTATAGAGCTGGTCCACAGTTCCACGGCCAGGACGAAAACCACATTGCTCCTCCTCTATCTGAGATTCAACTATCGATCGGACCCTCCTCTCCAGTACCTTGGCGTAGACCTTTCCAGGGAGGCTGAGGAGTGTGATCCCCCTATAGTTGGAACACACCCTCAGGTCACCCTTCTTAAAGATGGGGACCACCACCCCGGTCTGCCACTCCCTAGGAACTGCCCCCGATGACCACACAATGTTGAAGAGACGTGTCAACCATGACAGCCCTACAACATCCATAGCCTTGAGATACCCAGGACGAACCTCATCCGCCCCCGGGGCTCCGCCGCTGTGTAGTTGTTTGACTACCTCAGCAACTTCTGCCCCCGAGATCGGACAGTCCATCCCCAGGCCTCCCAGCTCTGATTCCTCCTCGGAATGTGCATTGGTGGGATTGAGGAGCTCCTCAAAGTATTCCTTCCACCGTCCGACTATAGCCTCAGTTGACGTCAGCAGCTCCCCATCCCCACTGTAAACAGTGTGAGCGAGTTGCTGCCTTCCTCTCCTGAGGCGCCAGCCAGTTTGCCAGAACCTCTTTGGAGCCGATCGATAGTCTTTCTCCATGGCCTCACCAAACTCCTCCCACGCCCGAGATTTTGCCTCGGCAACTGCCACTGCTGCACCCCGCTTGGCTATCCGGTACCTGTCTGCTGCCTCCGGAGACCCACAGACCAGCCACGCCCTGTAGGCCTCCTTCTTCAGCCTGACGGCTCCCCGAACCTCTGGTGTCCACCAGCGGGTACGGGGGTTGCCACCACGACTGGCACCGGCCACCTTACGACCACAGCTAGCAACAGCCGCCTCGACAATCGCAGAGTGGAACAAGGCCCACTCGGACTCAATGTCCCCCACTGCTCTCGGGACGTGGTCAAAGCTCTGCCGGAGGTGGGAGTTGAAGACCGTCTTGACAGGTTCTTCTGCCAGGCGTTCCCAGCAGACCCTCACTATGCGTTTGGGTCTGCCAGGTCTACGCGGCATGTTCCCTTACCATCTGATCCAACTCACCACCAGGTGGTGATCAGTCGACAGCTCCGCCCCTCTCTTCACTCGAGTGTCCAAAACATACGGCCGCAGGTCAGATGATACGACTACAAAATCTATCATCGACCTGTGACCTAGGCTGCCCTGGTACCAAGTGTACCGGTGGGCATCCTTATGTTCGAACATGGTGTTCGTTATGGCCAAACTGCGGCTTGCACAGAAGTCCAATGACAAAACACCGCTCGAGTTCAGATTAGGTGGGCCGTTCTTCCCAATCACACCCCTCCAGGTCAAGCTGTCATTGCCCACGTGAGCATTGAAGTCCCCCAGCAGGACAATGGAGTCCCCTGATGGAGCACTATCTAGCACTCGTCCCAGGGACTCCAAAAAGGGTGGGTACTCTGAACTGATATTTGGCCCATAAGCACAAACAACAGTCAGGACCCGTTCCCCGACCCGAAGGCGCAAGGAAGCTACCCTCTTGTCCCCCGGGGTAAACCCCAACACACAGGCAGAGAGTCTCGGGGCTAACAAAAAGCCAACCCCAGCCCTCCGCCTCTCACCCGGAGCAACTCCAGCAAAGTAGAGTGTCCAACCCCTCTCCAGGTCTCGGGTTCCAGAGCCAATGCAATGTGTCGAGGTGAGTCCGACTATATCTAGCCGGTACCGCTCAACCTCTGCCACAAGCTCCGGCTCCTTCCCCGCCAGCGAGGTGACGTTCCATGTCCCAAAAACTAGTTTTCTTGTCCGGGGATTGGACCGCCAAGGCTCCCGCCTTGGTCTGCCACCCGATTCGCATTGCACCGGACCCTTCATGTTCCTCCTGCGGGTGGTGGGTCCACAGTTGGACGAGCCCATGTATCCGGTTCGGGCTGGGCCCGGCCGGGCCCCATGGGCGAAAGCCCGGCCACCAGGCGCTCGCTCACGGGCCCCAACCCCAGGCCGGGCTCCAGGGTGGGACCCCGGTAACCC